TTTTAAATAGCCGGATGCCACTGAGTCACTCTATTAACTATAATTGTTTTTTATTTACAAAAGGTTTTTGTAAATTAAATTATTAATAGATTTTGATTTATTTTTTGTATTTTTTGTACTTTTTTAATTTACAAAAGGCATTTGTAAATAAAAAATAGATCGATTTTGATTTATTTTTTTGATTTTATCTAGTTTTTAATGTATTAATTTTTTAAATAGCCGGATGCCACTGAGTCACTCTATTTAATGGAATTGTATTGTTTTTGTTTATTTACAAAAGGCATTTGTAAATTTAAAGAAATGAATTGATTTTGATTATTTTTTTACAAATTATCTATTTTTACTTTACAAAAGGCTTTTGTACAGAAAAATACTTTTTTTTCAAACTTTTTAAATAGCCGCAGGCCACTGAGTCACTCTATTAAATAGAATTGTAATAAAATTCTATTAAGACATAAAAATACCAAAGGCATTTGTAAATTCGATCAATTTATATGTGAAAAATAGATAGTTTTTATTTATTTATTTTTTTAATAGTAGCCGGAGGCCACTGAGTCACTCTATTAAATAGAATTGAATTTAGTTTTTTTACTTTGCAAAAAGCATTTGTAAATTAAATAGTGTAAACAAAAATCAGTTTATCAAATGGAATTGTATTATTGCTTTGTATTTTTTAAAATATTTTTATGAAAAAAGGTTTTATGTCCAATATAGCTCTATTACTGTATAAGTGCAGAAATCAGTAGTTTCCACAAGACCCTCGATCAAAAATAGATGTTGCCTGACGCAGTTGTGGGGGAGTTCGGGCCAAACACAACAGCTAAACATGCGATTTGAATGCGTTTCTATGGATCACATGAATGATTGGAAGGATCGGGACCTCTACTGGTGTTGAAACACGGAAGAAGATGTGATCCTGTAATCCTATTGAGCGAGTCCGATATTCTCTCCATTTTCAGATATGTTAGTAGGGGAAGACCAAGGGGGGATGTTCACCTGACCACCCTTCCCCCATCTCCCCCCACACCATCTTTTCGATCATCCCCACTCCCCACCCATCCTATGCTTCCTACTCTCAATATGTCTTCTCCACTTACATTTTCTCACCTTGCACGCACATACCTCACACCACATCTCAATCAAACTATATTCCCGATCATATTAGTCTTTCTTCTCCCTATTCTCCTCTCTCCAAACTCTATCAATCTCCTTCTTCTTCTCAACATTCCTCCCCACCCACCTTTTCCATCTGTCTAAGCACACATTACAAGTCGCATTCTTTTCATTAAACATTCCCAATTCCTTATTACATCCACACTGTCCACACCTTCTCTTCTCCACTTCCTCACCTCCACCCTGAGCATTCTCAATATGCGTATTTGTTTTCTTATGCTTCCCCCATCCACTTTTCCTCACATTGCACTCACACACCTGACAATACACATTCTCAAACTTATCACCTTTCATCTCCTTAGTACCTATTGCTACTCGCCCTTTAAGTATTGGTCAGGTGAACATCCCCCATTGGTCTCTCATAGAAAAAATTAGAATAGTAAATATCTAGTTTATAGCATTATATAAATATTTATCTGATCAACTCTTCTGGGATTATGTATAATTCCTTCTGATTAAACAATGTATAGTTTTCAAGTTTTCAGGCCATGTTTCCTTCCTATTGCTAGGTGCCCTTTGTGCTGTTTCCCTATGCCTATTCCCTTCCATTTGTACGCAGCTCTTTTTACATAATGGTTTAGGTGTCCAAGTTTTTATATTTGTCCAAAGTCTGGCGCGTTTTCTGTATGCCATTCCATCTTTACAATAATCAACATCAAAAAACGAAGTTTTTCATAAACTCTTGCTCCTTCAAAAGTCCGGTCTGGGGGGTTTTCAACAAAAACATTTGGATCAAAATAGTTTATTATGTCAATAGCTTTCTGCACTGTTTCATTGGCTTCATCAATTTTTCTAGTGCCTGTTTGTTTTGCTATGATGTATTCAGTGCAAGGCGGGGATGACCAAGTAACATCAAAGTCGTTGTCAAATTTATTATAATCAAATTTCAAAATATCCTCATTGATACTAGCATTTTTAAGATCAAGTGATATAATAGTATAACCAAGTTCTTTAACAATTCTTCCAACACTACCTGTGCCTGAAAATATAGGGGTTCACGAAATGATGGCACAAGTAAAATGGTTGAAATATGCCATCAAAGATTAAAGATTTCAGCGCAAAATTGAGCTTTGACAATAGGAACACTCAAATGACATACCAATACACTGAAGCAATGGCAGGGCCGCTGTGAGAGCGGGGTTCTTTGAGAGTGCTGGGGTTGCATTCACAAAAGAAAAGTAAAAGAGAGGGAGGAAGGCAAGCAGGGAGAGAGGGAGGGAGGGGGAGGAAGGGAATGAGGAAATGACATGCACTAACACAGGAACAGCATACTGAGAGGAGAGGACCATTATATACAACAATGGTAGGTCCGCTGCGAGAGCAGGGCACAAAGCAAAAGGGAAAGAAGAGGCAGGGAGTGAGGAAGGGAGGAGAATGAAATGAATTGAACATAGGAACGCTAAGACGGCACACCACACACAAAGAGAGAGAGAGGGGGAGTTACAGAGAGTGAGAGAGTGAGAGTGAGAGTGAGCTAGTCTCATACTAGAATCCAGCAAATGGAATGAAGTCCAAGAGAAGGAACAAAGGAAAGAAACTATACAGACAGGAAAGGACACCCCCAAACAAACACACATATAATATATATATATACGTATATAAGATGAGATAAGGCGCCTGCTGCACAGGCTACCTTATTTGATCTTGGTTAAGCCTTTGTTCAGGGAGCCGCGGTGGGAGAGAGAAAGAGAGAGAGAGGAACTAACATAACTAAGGACGTCCTGGAACCCCTGGCAAGTAATTGAGGTATGTCCAAACAGGCTAAAGGGCATGAAAAGAATACTAAATAGAACGGCAAGGATAAAGGCAGTTGAAAGGATGCGAGGAAAGAGTGGTATGCATTGAACATAGGAACGTTAAGATGGCACGTGAGGAAATGATATGCACTAACGCAGGAACAGCATACCGAATGGAGAGGACCATTATATACAACAATGGTAGGTCCGCTGCGAGAGCAGGGCACAAAGCAAAAGGGAAAGAAGAGGCAGGGAGTGAGGAAGGGGAGAAGAATGAAATGAATTGAACATAGGAACGCTAAGATGGCACACTACACACAAAGAGAGAGAGAGAGAGGGAGTTACAGAGAGTGAGAGAGTGAGAGTGAGAGCGAGCTAGTCTCATACTAGAATCCAGCAAATGGAATGAAGTCCAAGAGAAGGAGCAAAGGAAAGAAACTATACAGACAGGAAACCTACAGTGCATGACACTCTTTGGGCTGCTGGATGGAAAAGGTTTTTTGCGGAAACTGAGTTTCTGGTGTGGGAGAACTGGAAAGCGTCGACAGAGAGAGAGAGAGAGAGAGAGGGAGAGAGAGAGAGAGAGAGACCAGCAAACAGAGTACAACACCCTTAAGGCCTGCAACAAACAATAAGATGGCATACCAGCCAAACGGCTCTAGTAGATTACAATGCCAATCCCCCCAAGCATCAACTGACCACTATGATGGCACACATGGCCCTTTCAGATCCTCGATGTGTTTCATCAAAAAGTGCATATATGCCATGTATTGTCTCGATTCCTGCGTGCCATCAAAGTGTGAACCTGTATAATAATTTTAATTTCATACTAATATGTTGTCATAGAAAATATATTATCATGAGTATGTTTCAGTGTCTTCATCATAATCAGTTTTGTAATATTGTATGGTGGTCTCTTTAGGTTGTTTTATTATTTTTGAATTCAACATTTCTAAATACTGCTTCCTTTTAGTTTCAAAGTCCCCTACTGGTCTACCTATGCTTTTCTTTTCAGATGCTTCTCCATTTTCCTTAAATCATTTTTTCTCATTAGTCTTTTCATCAATGGTGTTGAACAACTGTAAGATCAATTTAAGACTATTATTATATCTGTTCACTGTTCATTTTCTTTATCAGCTCATCAATTTTATCAGTATTATCTAAAGTAATAGATCCACCATCATCGTTTGAAACTTTCATAGTCTTATCTTATCACTCTTGCTGATTTTAAAGCTATATGGATTACACTTACACTTTTTGCCTTTAGTGTTGATTTCAATTTCATTCTCAGTTGTAGTTTTCCCTGGCATAAAGGACAGTCAAAGGTAATGAATTTGCTTGTTAGTTTTTGTTCTTCATCTAGTTTTATTGTTGTTGGTTCTTCATCTGATAGTTCAAACCCTTCGGGGATTTGTGTTTTATTCATCTTTGTTTTTTTTGTCTTTTTTGGTGGCATGTATATTACATTTTAGATAAGTAATTATCAATTTTGACATTTCCAGTGAGTATTTACAACACTGCTTAAGTTTATTATCTTTAACAACTGGATATTTAGCACTATCATTTTTTTCCATATCATCTCTTCCTGTTATATAAGCATCATGTTCAGATAGCGTCATAATATATAACTATAATTAGATAATGCTTTAACACCATCTAATTATATATGTAGTGCTTGGGAGAACACTAAAAACGAATTCAACTGTAAGGGCAAAAAATCCATTGCTGAAAAGCACACTAATTACCGACTTATGCGGATTAGTGTAGCCTCACCTACCGCACTCTGTCCATAGGAGATCTGCTAATATTTAATAATGTTTTCTATGTAATTTTATTGATAGATGAATAATAACACCGCACCACATATTCAACCTATCAAAGAAATCAATTATGAATTCACTCAATCAAAATATGCTGTTGCCTCTAAAGTGCCCTTTAGATCAAACATAACCGCTCCGTCTGGTAGTAGCAAATCAGTGCTACTAACAAACATGAATATGGACACCTACAAGGAAGTTTTTCAAGGGTGTATATCTGGTCACCTTCAATAAATGTTGATAGCATCTGGTTGCCAGTCAAGAAATACATAAAGGAAGAAATGAAAGTGAACACTGGTAAAGAGCAGGTTTTGTTTGAAGACTTTCACAGTGAAGATTTAATGAAAGTCATTGAAACACAACATAGAATAACTGAATACAGTAAAAAAAAACATAAATAAAAAAAACAATCCTAATAGTCTTGGATGATATAGCAGATGATCCCAAAATAGCAAGATATTCAAACATATTTGATTCCCTTTATGTAAGAGGTAGACACAATGGTATTAGTGTTATAACATCTGTTCACAAATTTAATGCACTGACCACACTGATAAGAGTTAATGCCACACACCTATTCTTCTACAAGGTCAGCAACTTTAAAGAAATAGAACTGTTTCAAAAAGAACTATCAGCAATACCTAGAAGAAAAGAAACAATATCCAAGAAAGTAAGCAGGTCTTATATAAACTTTATGAAATAGCCACTGAACAGCCACATATGTTTTTAGATATTAATCTTCTGGAAAAGGATAGGAACAAGATGTTTATGATCAAATTTTCACACTATTTGCAAATTGATGATTGATAATGTTACCTATGTTAATATGATCACCAATGAAGGAGCACACATATTATAGCAGGTAGTTTATACATAATCCTATTCGATTTCAGGATGTGAGCAGCTGGGAAGGTTCGTCAAGGGTACACATTCTATCACGAGCGAAATGAACCCCAAAGGTCCCTACCACATATATATATATATATACCTGAGATGCACATTGAAGCGACACCTCCGCACCCTGCCTGAAAAAGATCAGGCTTCACAGCAAGCCCTTGAGCCAATAAATATTGACAAGGCATCCGTCTGGAAAGTTGCAGATTGGCAGTAGATGATACTGGCCAACCCTCCTGCTTCTTTCCTGGTCACAAGAGCTTATGAAGGGCTTCTATACAATGAGTCATGCAGTCGATCAAATGCTAGGAATGCTTGGTCACGCATCTCCAGAAGCAACACCCGAAAGGCATGCGGGGAGTTTGGCTGCACAGGTGGGAGATGCTCCACTTGGAACAGCGACAAACAAAGAAACCATAGACTTGGTAGGCTTTCTTTCAAAGGATCACTTCGGGAAACTGGACCCAAAATTATCGAATCCTCATGGAACAGCTGAGAAAAAATCCAGGTTCCATTCAACACAGCTGACTTCTGAGGCTTCCTACATCGGAAGCCTTGTGAAGTACGTCCTCTCTGTGGCATGACTGAGTTCTGAGCAAGTCTGTGCCAGCGTGCACTAAATAGAGTATAGACAGTATAGAGTACGCATTTGCTTTGGGGGTCCTGATAGTCACCTATAGTCACCTGTTCACACGAAAAGGCAAGGTAGATTGTGGTCTTGGCTTCAGCTCACACAGTGAATATTCTAGATCAAGACATCTGGGCATTGATACAAAGCGCGAAGCATCGTGTCAGAGCCTCAAAGTACAAAAGTACTAACTGCCAGTTACCGAAAGATTTCATATCTTCATTTACAAGCGTGGCCGATTGTCGGGAGAGTTGGTCGGATTCAACCCTTGATGCACAGCTTGAAACATACCAGCAATTGGAATGGGCCACACATGACCGCACCAGCTATTACGTACACATTGCAGGGCAAGTCCACTCAAACATGCCTCCACTAGATTCAATCCACTCCTTGTCCATCGAGTCTCCTTGGTTGGAAACTGTCTTCACCTGGCCAGTTCACAGCAGGTTTCTTGTCCAAACATCCTGCTGCGTGAAAACTGTGATAGGGTCCGAAGTGCAGCCTTGCCACATGATGACGACAATTGCAACCTTGTACTTTGAGGACGTGGTGAAACCAAGCAACCATGTTCCTTTGACCGTTGACCCCCCTCTCCTCTATGTACAACTGCGTGAATGAAGCGACCACTAATCCAAACTTTTGGCTGCCATGCTTCAATAAAACACATGCCAGTGATGCACAAAGGCACTTCCTCAGCCGCTCTACCACACGGTCGTAGAACACGTTTGATAAAGAGGTTGGCTGTTCACTAAAGGTATTGACCCACATCCACATCATTGTATTGGTCAGCACAGGACATGATCACTTTATTGGCGTTGATGGAGAGATTCACAAAGGGATCCGATCTATAGTTGTTTTTTGTGCTTTTAGGGTTCTTGCCAGGAAATCAGAATTGTCCAAACATTCTCTTCGGGTTTGCATTCAGACTTGTGCAAGTCTGCCAATGCATGTACAGTCGGTCAGTCGGTAGGTGAGCGGCTCTAAAACCTATGGCATCTGCCTATTATGTCCTAGACAATGGCACTTACGCGTGCAGTTCTTGCAAGAAGGGGCTTATGCAACACTTGCAGTCACAGCTTACACACGATCGGTTTTCCGTGTTTCTGGCATAAACAATTGGCACTTGGCAAGCACTGAGTCCAATAGATCTGCTACATCCGCCACTGGGCAGTGAGGGGCAAAGAATTCATAACAGGTAGGTTTATAAAGTCGCTCAGGTGAATTGCAGCACTTGAACGTTGCACAAAAGAGAAGCCTTGTAGTGTATTCAAAGCCACGACTTTGCCGAGATACCCAGAATCTTCTTCACCACAAGGTTGATCTGGGCCAGCCTGGATAACAGGAGAAAGGTTTTTTTAGACACTAATCGGGATGCAACTCAAGAAACGCACAATTAAAATGTAAGAAACGTAACAAACCTAAAACATTGCTACTTTATGAAAAAACTGTCGAGTTGACTGGCACAACGGTGTCAGGGGTAAGCTCACAAGGAAAGCTGCAATGAAGGGAGAAGAGGCAAGCTGTGTGAAGCTCCTGAACATCCAGAACTTGAGATATCATCAGTGGAAGGGTTTCGCCGGTTTCGGTCACATAAAGAGCAAACACTATGTGTTTCTCCTTTCTTGTTCGATACTCAGAACCAAGTACTTCGGAAGGCCTGTGGTTGCTTCAGTTTCTTTGATCCAACACCAAATAAAGTATCCCACCCTTGGGGATGGATGCCAGGAAGAAACGAGAAGAAATACATTTCTTGGTGTCCCGTGCACAGGTTGGAAGTGTCTTTTTTCATCAAGGGCACTCATGGGAACCCCCTTTTTTTTTCCACAGCGTTTGAACCGGCTAAGCCTAAGCATCCCCAACCTCGAAGCGATTGGGAGACCAACCTGAGCTAGTCTTTCAATCAAATGGAGAGACAAACTGCATGGTCGCAGGTTGGGAAACCGTCTCGAAACTATTTGTGGCGACAGGTGCTAATATTAGCTGACAGGGCCGGCCATTTGGCCTAAAAATTAACTTCCATTTCTCCTGTTTCTTGGAAGACATGATAAACTAAGCTGGCACATGAGAGTGAAAGTCGCCAACTTCGAGCGTGAACCAGCACAAACATGAAACTTCTATATAAGGAGTATTTTCCATGTTTGAGGCATGACATGTGGCCTTTGTTCACTTGTTTTGCCACAGAGAAGGCCAAACTGAAGTTCTTCTGAAGTTGGCAGCAACAAACATCCAAAACATTTCCAAGACAACAATAAATTATTGATATTGCATTGGTTTGGGCACCCCCAAAATGTGTGTCTTGAAAAATATCCGAATCGGATACTTTCAGTCGTCAATTGAGCAGCCCAATCATATGTTATTGTTCATATTCTTCAAAAAATGTGGGTGTAGGATGCTTCCAAAAGGCTTGGAACAGTACAAGATTACCCACGCACTCACATTGTCGTGTCATGATCTACCAGCTTAAAGCAGCCGATCCAGCAATCATTCTTGATCTGGGGCGCTGGTGGAATTGGCCGTGGAGCAGAATGATTCTTCTCCAACTATTACTCTGACGACGTTGTTATTCTACAAAAAGTTTGACATCTATTACCAAGTTCACAGCATCAAGTCTGCAAGCAATTACATTAAGAATAAAGTATATACTGTAATGAAAAACGCCTGCAAACACTTGAATCCAGCTGCGCGACCCAATAGCGATGGCCGCCTACCTACTAGCGATGGCCTCCAACCTAATAGCGATGGCCTCCATGATACAACTGCCTGGCCAAGAAGCAATGGAACTGTGGACCTTTTCCAATGTCGGTGCACTCGCCCACATGGAAGGACCAACCCCGCGCTGGGCAGCCGACCCTCGGCAGGTTCACTCAATTAAGGCTTCCCCATTCTGGAAGAGTAATCCTATTCAGTGGAGTTTCTCTCACCACTTTTCCTCTTTTCTCTCATGCAACTCCCTTTCTCATCCTTTCTCCCACGTAGTTTCTTCTCTCTTTTGCTAGGCCGCTAGGCCTTGCTGTTCCAGACTTTGTCTATCGTTCTCCGTAAACTCCTAAATTATGTGTTTCGTGTTCCCGGCTTGAATTTGGTGCACCGTAGAAGGGCTTCAAAGGACGCTTTGCAGTGAAGAAGAATTCACAGTCTGGAGAATATCAGCAAGAAGCCAAACAGTCTTATGGTACGATGCAAAACACAAATGGCAACAGGAGTCCACATCATCAGTCTTGAAGTTCTGTAGTGCATGCAAGCTGTGCTGAAGAGCCTTCAAAAATCCCAAACAAATCAGGTTGTACAGTGATGGAGCAAAAGTATGGGAGAGAGTCACGAAAAGTCTGGAGTCACACTGCTGGAACTCAGCTGTGGGCCGCCATATACAAAGTTCTTTGAACAACAAAGACTGGTCCACACGCGGCTTGAATCAAACACTGATTCGTTACATGCATACCTTTGTTTGGAGATAACCTCTCCCAGTTGACATACACTTAAAGTGTGAACTTGGAAAGCTGAAGTGAAAAGGAAATGCGCCGCAACACTTAATTCGAAGATGTATATATTTGGAAAAATAGAATCAACATGACAAGCATCCTGAGACGACAATGACAACAGCTGGGGTTTCACCATATCGGTTTTCAATACATCGGCAACTATTGGATGGTTATCATTCTCACTTAACATGCACGTGCCAAAAAGAACATGTAGAGAGTTATCTCCCCTCGCTATTAAAATGAAAGGGGCGAGTTTAGCCTCTTGCCCATACGTCGAAAGTTCGGATTGTGTTCACAGCGTTCTAGACTTTTGACTGGGGAGGGAAAATCAGATGTTCACAAGTAGACTCAAAATGCACATCACGGCCTAAAATACCTGAACATACTGATGCCAATTCCTCAGCATGTTGACGCCGACAATGGATGGAACAAATGATAGGGCCCATTCACCATCCTTGTGAGTCCCGAGCTCATAGGCTCCATTGTAGCGAGACTGGATTGCCTCCTTTCCCACATCCATAGGAGAATAATTCCTCAGCACTCAAGCCAAACAAGGACCATCGGGTTCTTATGTTCTGATAAGCATGCTGTGCACACAAGGTCAGCAAAAGGAGGATGTGGGAAAGGCCAACAAACAGTGGCTGGGGATGCTGCAGCTACTCTCAGTTACTTACTGAATCTGACACTGTCCAAGAATGTCAAGCCAAGAAGCCCATCGTGGTTCTGGCCAAAGTCGCTGATCTGGCCATGCATGATAGACTCTAGACTTTCGAACAAAAACCTGGAGTTTGATTAAATTAGGCTCGATGTATGGGTTCATTACGATACACGGCCAGCTGGCCAACCGTAGCACACTGATCTCCACAATATTCCACAATGCACCAATGCACCAAAACAGGACTGTTGCCGAGCAAACATAGTGCCACTGCCCATCTGGTAAGAAGTTTGGGGAGGGCGCCGGCAATAGTGAGGAAAGGAAGTGTTGGTGATTACAGGCTGTCATGTTGACCAGGAGATGAACGTCATACAATCTATTCAGCCAGCAGCCTTTTTCATGCTCGAGGCAGGGGGTGTCGCATCAGTAATCTTCCTTAGGCACCCGCCATAGAACCAACGGCAATCAAAAGCTTGCAGTTTCACAACTGAGTCGAAGAGCCCTTCAACAAGAATAAGAGTCCGGGACACTTTGTGTTGATCATGTGATATGCTTAAAGTCTTATATACATATATAAATGTTCCTTAAACTGTTCTAAATAACACAAATGCAGCCTAACATGAAGCAAGTTTGAGGAT